CACCCACCCCACGCCACTCGGCGCACTCACCGAGACCTTCCTCCGCCGCTCCCCCGCCTCCTTGATGGCCTGGCCCGTGCGCCGCTTCTCAAGCAGCTCCTGGGGAGGGTTTTTGAGGGTGGGGTGGGGCCGGCGCGGCGCGGAGGGGGCGTGTGACGACGTGCGGACCGCAGGATATTTTGACGCAGCGGCGGAGGGCATGAGTGTTCCCGCCGCCCAGAGCGCCGCCGCCGCGCCGCGCGCCGGCCGCCGATCGACTCCGCTGCTTCGCTGCGGACCGCGATTCGCCGCGCCGCGACGCCCGCCGCTGCGGGCCCCCCGCCCGCGCGCCCGCAAATATCTGGCGCGATCGGGCTCCGGGGCATGCGGCTCGTCCTTGTCGACGGTGCGGCGCCGCGGGCGGCGCGCCGCAGCAGCCCGGCGCGCGGCGCTGCGCGCACCTGCTGGATCCTGAACTGCTCGTCCTTGTCGCTGTTGCCCTCCTCCTTTTTGGCGCCAAAACCGAACAGCGCCTGCACGCGCGCGACGGGGCGCCTGCTGCCCGCGGCGGCGCGCCTTCGTGTGGCGGGGGCGGCACGCGGGGCGCGCCGTGCAGCAGGCTGTTCGGTGCGTGCGTTGGGGCGCGGGTGCATGGGGGCGGCCGGCAAGGGCCCATGCAGCTCGCAAGCTGCGTCTCAAGCGCTGCACGTGCGAGGCGCTCCCCCTCTGGGTCGCACTCTCGGCCGCGCCGCCCATCTGCAAGGCTACAGCACCCATTGTCAGCGACATTTCACGCCCTGACGCACCCGCTGCTGACGCGGAGGCCACGCGTTTGCGCGACGAGAGCCATTTGAGCGGGTTGAGATGGGGCACGGGACGGCCTTCAAACGTAAGGGTCGAGCGGGTCTAATCACGTCTACTTATTACATGTGAAGGCTTTCCGCGAGCAGTGAGCTGATGCTGCACAGCGGCAGCCAGGGAGGCGCTTGGACTATGATCTGTGCGTTGCTCCGCCGCTGCTCTTCCTGCGCCAAGGCGGCGCCCTGAGAAGCTTTGCTGCTCAGTATGCCCTAGAGCAGCAGTTGCCCGTTACACATGGAGGGGGTGTTGACGTCTGGACGCCATGCTACTGGTCAAACGCATGCAGCGGCAGCGCCGGCGGAGAATTCTGCGGCGGCCTTATGTAGAGCGAAAAGTGTGCATGGGAGTAGTCAAACGTCAAAATATTCGGAGCTCTCTTTGATGCGCTTGCGTCTGCGCAATACACCAGGACACGCGCGGGCCGTTGCGCACAGGCGGTGCGGCCCATAACGCAGTGTTGGAGAAACCCGCTCCCGGCCGCATGCCGGCGGCCGATGGGGGTCGCACGCCACGGTCCACGGGCTGCGGCCGCGCTGCGTGACGGGGTCGCCCCTCGCCCCCATTTTGGGGCTCGGGAGCGCACCCCGGACGCCCCGTGCACGGCGCACCCTCCCACGCACACCCCTGAGCAAACGGCCCTCTGCTGAACTTGAGCTCTCAAAAGCCGTCCCTGGTGGCCGCCGCGGTCGCCATCAATCAAGTGGCGCCGCGGCCCCTGCTCGCCCGGCGCGGCGCAGCGGCCGGGCGAGGCGGGGCGTGGCCCAGATCACAGGCCAGCTGTCTACTTGAGGTTGCCGCCGGTGATCTTCTGCTTGAGCTCCTCCACATCCCTTCGGAGGTTTTTTAAAGAAATAAGAGGTGGACATGGGTGAGTTTCGGGATCCAATACAGGAATTACCGTCTGCTGCTGGCAGGGCGTTGACACGATTCGAGCTGTTGCGGGTCGTCAGGATAGAGCAGGGCCGTGTCGGCCTCTCGTCATGCAGACGCGTCTGCGAGGCAACGCGCGCCCATTGGACCGACGCCAGGCCCGCGGGGCGACCCCCGGGAGAGCCGACAGGCAGCTGCGCGCCCGTCGTGCCGCGCGAGGCGCGCAGCTGCCGCGCGGCTTCCCGCTGACCTGACGAGCTCGTCCCTGGTCTCCTGGAAGAGCAGGTAGCGGTAGGCGAACCACGAGGTGTAGGTCAGGCCCACCAGCTCAAACAGCTTGGGGACCTGCAGGGGGTGCGCGTGTGGGTGGGGGTGAGAATGATGTAGTGAGGAATGAATGGGATGCGGTGTGCACGGTGTAACAAGCTGTGTTTGGCCAAGGTGTTTTTGCGGGGGCGGGGGGCGTTCGAGCATGCACTGGGGTGTGGTGTGCGAGGTGTCCAGCTGTGTGCGGCCCTGGGCGTCTAAAAGTGTCTGCATCGAGGGGCGACTTGTGACGTGGCGCCGCCGCGCGGCGCTGCGTCGCTAGTCGCGTCGGGCTGCTGCGCACCAGGGGCAGGGTGTTGACGGCCGACACGATGGTGCTGGCCAGCCACACTGCGGTCAGGGCGCCAAAGCTGTAGAGCAGCACACCGGTCTTGTTCTCGACGCGGTCCCACTGCATGAGAATGCGGATCAGGGGGTGGGTGAGGCGCAGGTGAGGGCGCCGCGCTGCGTGACGAGGTTGGTGGCGGGCGCAACGGGGCGTGTGACATCGCTGCGCCAAGCGTGAGCGGCTTGAAGGTGGGGCGCTGGCGCGGCGCCTGGATCCGGCCGGGTTGGCTGGTGCGGGGAGCCGCAAATAGAGGGCGAGCGGCCGCCTGTTGGCCGCGGCCGGGCCGATGGGCCAGCTGGCGCCTCCACAAGTGGCTGGGTGCCCACGCGCTGCACGCTGCTAAGCATCGTGCTGGAAGTTGCCGCCCTCTGCATCACGCATGTTGCGGCCAACACATTGGCAGCTGCGCGCGTCTGCCGCGATGCGTCCACTGCTTGCGCTGGTGGTGTGCCAACAGCAACGCGATCGCGCGATCATGCGCGCGAGCAAGCCGCATAGCCTGCAATGCGCTCTGGTCCCCAATAAATGATGCATTCGCACTCGCGATTGATGTTGCGCCCAACCACGCGACGTGAGGCGGCTGCTGCTGCTGATGCAATGGGGTCTCTCCCACCCACACTCGGGGACACCCCACTCCTCCCCACCCCCACTCGTCGCCTCCACTCGCCTTCTCGGCCAGGTCCCTAACCACAACCTCGACCTGGCTCTCGGCCTCGGCGCGGACAACCATGGAGCGCCTCCCGGCCTGCAACGCGTCATAGTCTCTGATCAGAGCGGGACGCCCCAGAGCTGCACTGCAAGCATGTACATTGCAGCAGGCTCACCTTGCATAGACGCACGGGGGTGCGGACGGCCACGGCCGTCCGGCGGGCAGAGGCGCCCAGAGCAACCCGGTTTTGCTTCAGGGAAAGCTGCATGATGATGGGTGGTTTGTATGTTGATTGGATGGGATGACCCGGATCGGGGTGGAATCAAAAAGTTGCTGTAGACACGTCCGGCACAGGCTTTGAGATTGGGGCGAGCGGCCCCACACCCGAGGGAGAGTGTCAACAATGTCCGAGAACTCCGCCCCGGTGGATGCACAAGGTGAATTCAGTGTTCATTTTGAGATTTAATTCGCACAGCGCAGCCCCCAGGACGCTGGTCAAAGTCGTCCACTGGCAATGGCACCCGTGTCAACCCACCCCTCCTTTCGCTCTGTGTGAGGGGTTTCAACGCGCTCCATGGTTCCTGGACAGAGAACAAACCGCTTTGGCGCTATCTCGTGTGGTGAACCAGAACAACACCATACGATACGGTACTTGTCGTCTGTGCGGCGCGCAGGCATGGCCCCTGTAGTCGACAGCAGCGCGGGTTGTGCTCACAAGCCGCGGAACACGACCAGCAACAGCATGACGGGCATCACATGACAAAGCCTTGCAGGTGAAGACCAGCGTCTACCATGCGCAAATCCTTGCTCGCGACCAAAAACATGCAAGCCCGGATAAGTCGAGTCCTAGTGCACCGGCCCTGGTGCACTGGCACGTACATCATGTTGGCCCTCGGTTTTGTTGCTCAGTCAAGTGTCAAGGGTTTGCTCCGGTCAGCGCTGGGGCCCATAACACAATCACAAAGTCCTGCTGCCGAGGCGCATGCGCGCACACATCCCTATCTGCTCGCTTTGCCGCGCAGGCACAATGACCGTTGTTTCAGGCACAGCCTGTTTCAGAAAGTGCTGCGGCATGCTGATCATGATCGATTTTACGGCCACATGACGGCTCTTGGAAGACTGCTGGGCGGTTTTTCGCAATGGTGCTGAATAGCTTTCCGTACGATGGACGATCTTCCCTCTCAACGCGGATTCCTCCAAAAAGCGCACCACATAGGCGCGTTGCGCCCCTTGAATCGGTGCATTGCGAAAGGCGTTCTGCGGGAGGCCTGTGGGTCCGACCCCAGACAGGTAAGCGGGTAGATACACCAAAATGTGATCCTTGTTTCTTCTTAGAGTACAAAACCTTGCAGGGACATCGAGGTGAACACGATTTCGGCGATGTCGGGTCTGCGCGCCTCGTTGCTGGTCCTCGCGCTTGGATTGGCGTGCGACAGGCTCCTATCAACACAAAGATAATAATTTGATTTTCTCAGGTCCGCACGAGGAAGGCCGCATGCTATGGCGGCCAAAGCATTGACATGGCTGGGAGCGCTTGGGCTGGCCCTTGCTGTGCTGGCGCCGTCCGCCGCCGTCGCCCAGCCAGCTGATGTCACCCTGACGGCGGCGGCGGCGCCCTCCGTGACTTCAGCCGGTGGGCAAGAATTGGGCTCCACTGCACGTTCTGCTGGGCATTCTTTTGTGCGGTTTGTTTGCCTTTTTGGCGGAGCCCCGACTGCCAGTAGGCGGGGGGCTGCGCGCCAAAGAATGCCTCGCAGCCCGCGCGCTTCCTCTTGCGCACAGCGACGGCAAGCAGCGCCTTGTTCGACGCGGGCGCTTGAGCGCGCTCGGCATAACCCCATCATTCACCTTGCCCTCCACGTACACCTGTAGGTGCAGTTGTCGCCAGCCCTGCTGCACAGCCTTTGACCGTCGCCACCAGCCCCACCCCCGCCCCCGCTGTCGCCAGCCTCGCCCCCGTCAACGCCACGACCGCCCCAGACCCTGGGGCCGCCCTCAACACCACCGCCGTCGACACCAACACCACCGCGGCCTTGCCGGCGGCGGCCGTCGCGGCCGCGGCGGCGACGACCTCGGCCCGCGTGATGGACACAACCTCGTACGAGCTCGCGCGGCCGAACGTGCTGACAAGGGATACGAGCCTCATCCTGAAAGGCCAGGAGCTGCTAGCCGAGCGGGCGGCGCAAGCAGCGGCCGCCGAGGGCGACTCTGGGGTGTACTGGGCGGACAGAAAGGTGGGATTAGTGACTGCCGGCGCAGTCGTCGGCCTCTGCGTCGCGGCCGGCGTCGTCCTGTTGGCCGCCGGCCTCTTCACGCTGTCGAAATTGAGGACGCTCAGCGCCGGCGGCGGCGCCGCCGCCCGCGGGAAACACGCCGCCGCTGCAGACGGCGGCGCCCTGCTGTTCGGCGGCGCGTTCGCGTCCCCGCGCCGCCGCGGGGGACCGCAGCCACTCGCGGGGGCGGCTGACCTGGAGGGCGGCGTCGTGCGAGGCGCCGCGGCGTCGCCGCGGCGGCGGCTGCCGGCCACGGCGCACGTCGCGCCGCAAATGCACCCAGATATGGAAGGTGGCCCCGGCCCCGCGGCGCTCAGGCCGGACGAGCCGATGGCCTCAACGCGCAGGTCAGGAGGCTTGCATGTCAACTGGGGCGGCGGGTGGTGAAAGGAGAACCTGTTCATCGTCACAGCACCTGGGAGCAGGCAGGCCGCAAAAAATCAATTGGCTCGGACCCGCCCCAGCTGCTGGCAGGCGGACGGGTAGATGCCTGGGATGGGCGCTCGGCCAAGACGGTGCTGTGCATAATTGCAGCGCACCAGAGCGGCACTTTCCCACAGCAGGCGTCCGACGCCTGCTGTGCGGAGCCCTCGGCATTCATTGACCTGTTTTGGTGCCTTTGCCTGCACTGAAAACAGCCAGTCCATGAGCGGGTCGCGATTTTGTCATAACACAACCCATGCTTTGCCTGCGCTGCACCCCCCACCCCACCGCTCGGCACCAATCAGCACTGCAGGACCCTGCGTGCGGGTGTCGCTTTTGCAACCGTCTTTGGGATGGCTGACTGACACCTGCATTTTCTGTGCCCCCGTGATTTACACGCTGCACATTGTGGCGCAAGCGACCGCGTACAGGGTTTGGGGATTATGTCTTATTCGACGGGTCCGGTCAAATGCACAACTTCCTGCATGTGCTGCCACCGCGGTCTCGCGTGCAGCGCTGCCGTGAGAGCGCGGTGGCAGCATGCACCGGCGTACGTGCTCTGTGTGCATGCTGTGAAGTGACGATGCGTGACAAATGACAGAGGGTAACCAGTGACAGAGGTGACGAGTGAGGTGAGGCTCTGTGGGGAATAAAACATGTGCGGCCTGCGCGTCTGGTTTGATCAGCCCAAGGTTGCGCCACAACAGGCTGCTGCCGCCACTGGCCTTTGCGTCCATCAGCGCTGGCGCAGGCGGCGTTGGAGAAGGCAGTGGGAACAGCCGACCGCACGTCGAGTCCCGACCACCAGAGGTCACAGACCAGAGAAACACAAGTGAAAAAGAAGAGGAGGCACGTCGCGCATTGCCAGCTCAAGAAAAATGTGCATTGGAACCAGTGTGCGCTTGCCCTGACACAACGGCAGCCGGAATGTCAAGAGCCGCCCCCGCCGCCGCCGCCCCCGGTGAGCTGCCAGAAGGCCACGCAGCCCGCCTTGTCAGCGGTGACCAGCGTCCCGCAGTCGTGGGACCACCCGACCGCGGCCACCTGCTCCTTGGCGCCCTGCAGCCGCGTGACCGGCGGCGCGGCGGCGCCGGAGCCTGGGGCAGAAGGACAAGTGAGGAGCGCAAGGTTGATCAATCGCTTGCGGCACGGCGTTGGGAGTAGAGGGCGTCGTCCCCACCCAGCCTAGGAATCGTGTCGGGCAAACGGCGAGGCACGAGCAGTGTGGCGGCCACTGCAGATGCTCTTGTCCACGGCCGCTGCCTTCTGCAACCGCTTGTTGCCACTAGCTGGAGCAACCCTGCACACCCCCACCCCTCCGAC